TTCCAATTCAACCACTACATGCACACCCCTTTCGTCAAACAATCAACGCTCACTGAGTGACATCGTCTGGAGCTGCCTTGCAACAACGTTCGCGGTCACTTGGGTTGCCGTGCACCCGAATATCCCCTCTCGAGATGAAAAATGGTGGCGGATAACATTGCGTCGACTCAAAGCGATGTTTTTGGCACTGCTTGCACCTGAGTTGATGTTGCTTTGGGCATGGAGACAGAGAGAGGGTGCAAAGTACATCCGCAAGAAGATACTAGAACTATCGAAAGAAGATCCTGCTTTTATGAAGGGTGAGTGGTGGCTTTAATGGTTCGATGATTCTGGTTTGCTGTGTTACTAACGGTCAGTGTCAGGCAAAGATTGGACGATGGTTCATGGACACTATCTTCAAATGGGAGGATTTGTGCTGCACATTCATAGACCGGAGGACTTACAGACACAGGACACATTTGATATTTCTCCGCCGGGTCCAGGTCCAAATGGATTTAGTGTTCTACATTATAACACCTTGGAGAGGCTGATGAGAGAGGGCAGATTAGACTTTCCTTCGATTTCTGAACCGGAAATTAAGGATAAAAGCAAAAGCGACGCACTGGGGAAAACGGTTGCTTCGGCTCAAATAATTTGGTTCATTACTCAAGTCGTTGCTCGTCGCGCCCGAGGGCTCGCTATCACAGAGATTGAACTAACAACAAGTGCATTGGCGGCTCTAAATACTGTCATGTACTTTCTGTGGTGGGATAAGCCTTTCGACGTGCAATGCCCGTCTATTGTTCGGCTAAAATCACAAGAGCTCCCAGCAGAAATGAACAGTTCCAGCAGAAATGAACAGCTCCACCACTACCGCCACCGGCACTACCACTTCAGCTCATACAGCACCAGAGACCGCTCAAGCGTCCGTGGTTGGTTACCAGGAAAATCCCACGTCTTCTCAACCTTCTGCTGGTGAAGCCGGCAGAGATCACGATGCACTGACAATCGAGCCACAGAGGGACCCAACATCGACGTTGGTGTCTCGATCGTGGTTTCGAACTTCTTCCATATCAATAAGAATACGGAAGGGATTCAAAACTGTCTGTGGCTGTCTAAGGGGATTCTCACATCATTTACGTTTTGTCTCTATTCCCACTCCTATTACGGAACTTATCCCGGACGTCTCCCTCAGAGTACAGGAGGCGATAGAGGCACTTTATTACAAGAAAGGGTGCTTGTATACCTTATCCAACATTGCGCCAACCTCGCCTTTCACACAAACACTCCGCGAGCTGACCAGGGGCGAAGAAAAATCTGTACCCGCTGATCGAGTGGGCATCTTCCACATAGAGCACCAAGATGCAGAAGAGATCGGAAGTATCAGACGTTTCTCTATCACTATGGCCGTTGGCTGCATATTTGGCGGACTCCATCTGATAGGGTGGTCATTCAACTTCCCCTCGAGGGTTGAAATGCTAGCATGGCGGATATCAGGATGTGTAATCGCCACAATGCCAGCGTGGTTCACGCCGTTAATGGTGCTTTTTCATCGTTATGAAAACGATGAAATTGGAAAGGTTTTCGCGGCTATCCTCCATTTGCTATTCTTTATGTATATTACAGGGAGGCTGTTTCTTGCTGTGGAGAGTCTGATTTCGCTTCGCCAGCTTCCCCCTTCAGCTTTCGAAAATGTAGATTGGCTTTCCCTCATTCCTCACGTTTGAAGTATTCTACTTATCCTCGCTGTACTATAAGGATGTCATTAATTTTTAATTTGTTCAGCTACTGAAATTGAACCCAGAGCAATGTAATAGCATGATAGGAATGAAAGAATGATATTCCATGCAATGAATCAAACCTCAGGCTGTCGTGTGAAGGATAGCGATGTTAGCCATCACACCATCATGGATTGACAATTTGCAGAGTGAGGAAAAATATTAATAGAGCATTAGAAAATCAGGCTCCACTCCGCTCTGCCTAGAATTAAAGGTTAGCAATAACTGGACGGTGTTACCTTTTCTGCACAGCATCAGTAAACCGGTAATATTGTCCGGCTAGGTCCAGCCATGTCCAGCGGTTCCTCGTGTTCCCAATTTAATAGAAACTTGTCCCGGATCACGCTGGAACCGCCGGAACCAATTGCGCGGTTTACTAATGAGTGAACTCTGAACCTTGGTGTAATGCGGCCATCTCTGCCATACACACGAAATAGAGCCATTATTTGTAAGCTGACCCATCCAAGCCTGGGTAGATGTAGGGAGCCGTTTTCTTTATTTTCTTTAATGTTTATTCTTATGATGGCTGACGAAGAATTATAACTGAACACTGGCTCCGGGATTGACTGGAATTTAGAGGGAGTCACTGTACTGTTTGTACTATACTGCCATATTTTTGAGAGGGGATTGTATGTAGACAACGTTGAATCGAATGAGCCTGGAAACCACTCCTTGGGCGTTCTCAGCAAGATATCGGGCATTTGTTAAAATGGATAAACTTGAAGGGTGTGCACGCACAGCCACGCTGCGCATCCGACCCACTAAAACCGCAGCTTTGCCCACAGTACAGCGCCCCATATGTTCCTCTTATACTGCTCTATAATCTTTACAAGGTGTGTCCTCCGCTTTGCTCCGGTAAAAGATTTAAAGGGCACTGAGGGATAAATGGTGATACATTGTTATATTGTACCATAGAAAAAAAGGGTAAGGCATGGGTGAGGAACTATCTACAGGTTGAAGTTATGAAGCTTCGAAAGAAAGGAAAAATGTACAGTTTGAATAGAATTACAATGAGACAGGGCAATAAAGATGTGATGCATATGAGGGAAACAATATAGGGACTACAGGTTGATGTAGAGAACCTTAGAGGAAAAGGAATATTTACAGGAGAATATAAGTACAGAGAGAGTATTGGTCGGAGAGGCACTAGGGAATTTATGAGAAGACTTATTTGCGATGGATCTGTGGGAACTACCTTGGACAATGTATCGAATATATGGGTGAGAATGTTGCATAGGCCTCGATTAAAGGTGTGGATCTGTAACCTGAGTGTACTGACGGAAATCATTGCTGTAGCGGTAAAGGAGGTACTATAATCATGTATTAGTTTGCTACATATCTCAAGCAGGTAAATACTCACGTCGTTGCGCATTACACTGTTGATGTAAAAGAGCAAACAAGGTGTGTATTGTGTGGTTTGCCTGCATCAAGCACATGTTTTTAATTGGCCTGGAGAAGCTGCCTATACTCAAGGAATGTTTTCCAGATTTCTGAATTGATCTCTTCAGTGTCCCTTGTTGATGCAGTTGAGGAGTTGCTGTCAGAAGTCTTACTATCATCATTCCTAGTGCTGTTGTCTGGGTCAGTGGATACAGCAATGTTGTCTGAGGGCGCAGTGACTTGGTGGATGGTTGACATCTGATGGTTCATGGCCATTGTGGTGGACTGTATCTCATCTGGGTTTAATTGACCATTGAATTTGCGTCGCATCAAATCAATCAACCCAACCCTTTCTTGGCGCACCAGACTCAGAGTTCTTCAAATATTGTCGATGTCTGTTTTAGGCGATCCATTGATCCCTATTTCCATCGTCATCTCCACTCTGCTTATGAAACGACTGGGATGCTCACACGTCGGGCTGAACATGATTGATTCCCCGAGTTTATCACCCTGCGTTACTGCTAGATTTCCTCAGCCGTCGTTTCGTTTCGTCTTCACTCTTTCTCTTTCTTTTCTTTTCTTTTCTTTTTCATTCTATGCCAATAACGAAACAAAGACCGGGGAAATCCAACCAAGCAGTTTAATTCCGCGATGCTCATCGCCTAGAATTGTTGTTTTTCTTTTCATTCTTGGTTTCGATATAGAATTCTTTCTCCTTCTCTCCTTCTTTCCAAAGCCTTTCCTCCCTGCCATTTCGTATCCCCTTTCCTTTTAATTTTGACGGCAATAGCGAAACGAAACCCAGGAAGAATCCAAGCAAGCGTAATCAGGAGCGCAGCTAAGAAATAGGATTAACTCTAAAAACCCAATCATAACATAATTATATTTAGTCAGGTTAGAGGGAGCTTGCCATTCGTTTACTCCGCGAGCTTGAAAAAAGAGAGAAAGAGTAAAAAAGAAGAAGAATCCAATCCTATAACGAAACCAAGCATGCAAGGAAAAGGATAAATCCCGCGAGTAATTCTGCGATGAATGCCCCAAACTCTTCGTGTCGCATCCCGTCCATGGCTTTATCCATCGTGTCATGCATTATTTTCTCAGTAGATTTTGAGTGCAGTAAGCGATTTATTCTGTTCGGTGGATGATTCACGGAGGGATTGGAATTGAGATGGTAGGTACTAGTGCTCGTGGTGATAGTATCTCGTTACCTTCCCTGTCTCTGCCTATCTGTTTCATTTCCCTTTCCCTTTTCTTGGAGACGGAACGTGGTGTCCTTGTATTCCAAACAAATATGATACATACATCCTACGTTTGTTATACTACCTTGCAACCTTGCAACCAAACACGTAGCGAAAATGGAACTCGAAAGGAGTTAGTGACATCGTTAGGGGGGTTGATGAGGAGATGGGAAGATGACGACTGGGGTTGTACTTGTGAGGTGATGTATTCTGTCTTCTACCCTCTCCGAATAAGCACGCCACGATTCCTAGAATCACCGGAGCTTCCAGTAGAGCTCCTCCCAAAAACTTATCCTCGCTAACGTTCCTATGACATGTACTAAGTACCTCGCCTCATCCCCGTCATCATCAGTGCAGCACGGAACTTAAACCCGGTAAATTACATAAATGACGTCTCCGAAATCCTTTAAAGATCACGACGAGGTCTCGAGGTCGGCCATTCTGTGAACCCACATACTTGTATGGTATGTCAAAAGGAGGCGAGCTCTGCCTGAGGTAAACGCCAGAACGAGTAAATGGGGGGATTTAAAAAAAAAAGAGGGGGTTGAGTTACCCCTTTCCACCTAATCATCCTCATGCTTCTCCAACAACAATCCGAAGATAGAGAGAGAGAAGAAAAATGATCTTCCGACACGGGGAATTGAACCCCGGGCTATCGCGTTCCACTTGAGCGGCGATAATTTTAGCCACTACACCATATCGAACACGTCAATTATCATTCACTTAAAATTAATGGGGCGCCTCCGAAGTATTGCGAGGCAAGCATAAGTAGCATTGAATGTCGTTGTTGACAATGTTGTGCACATAATATTGCAGAAATAAATATTCTTTATATGCTATTTTCATGATTGGTCAATCAGCCTTCCGTGATCCGAGATCCGAGGCCTAGCGATCGTGATGCGAGTCGTAGACCCTTTCCACCGAATCCCGATGCTCCTAGGCCGAATTTCCTGGATAATATTATATCAACATTCCGCCGTACGATATCATTGTGTGCTGTTGTTATTTTCTCTGTAACTTTGGTATTGTAATAGCATTGGTCTCTCATCACGTTACTAATTTTCCTCCCTATAGACAAATTGGACAGGTCATTTTGATAGATTAAAATGCGAAGGAAAAGGTGATAATGACTAAATAATGACTGACATGGTGTGGGGAATTATATTACGATCTGATGGGAGGACTATTTTATCTCTTCATAAGTAGAGTAGTGGCGCAGAGGTATGAATATAAATCAGATACGGCTTCGTGGAAGACCATTCACAGTGACATTCGCTACAAATGTCACTGGACCGTGGTACAGATCGTTCGTCTGCAATGAGCATTGCGGGAGTTCAGTATGTGGCGAAAGCGAATTGGGAAGAGAGAGTTGTGAATGATGAAGCTTTGGAGTTGAAGAAGAAACTGATATGACTTAAGAGGTAGTTGAATATTTGAACCTCCTTATTAATGATCTGCCTTCAGGCTACTAGTATCCTCACCCTCTCGTTCACCCTTCGTTCTGTCCCAACTGAATTTCTTGGACGATTCGACCAGGCTCCAGCGGGTACGAAGTTGTAAGCGGCTCCAAGGATTGTAGGAGGGATCGAATCCGGACGAATGTTTGTATGCTCTTACCTTTGACTTAAGTGTTCTTAACATGTCGACAAGGGATTCAAGGTCATTCTGAATAAATAGTATCGAGTTGTATGCACTCACTCGATAATGGAAAATTTGCATCCTCTAGATAAGCAGGCACGGACGACTTCAGTGAGATTGTGAGAGTGATGGATAGGAAGGACTGCTTTATGATTGTGATTCGTCCGGCTCACGTTGGATCCGGATAGAACAGGAGACAACTCACCTTTCGCCATAACATCCAGGCTGGATCCGCAATGCGATCTACGCTCACCATCTCAAGCATATGTCCGATATGGTGTAGTGGCTAACATTATCGCCTTTCATATGACAGCTTAACAGCACGTTCAGATCGCGATAGCCCGGGGTTCAATTCCCCGTGTCGGAACAATATTTTTCTTTTTCTTTTGTGGATGAGGGCTGCGAAGTGGATTGCTCGTCGACCGCCGGCTAGGAACGCAAAGCTTGGGTTCAAATTCTGGGATTAATTCCAGGCAATAGTCAAGAAGGTCGGAAAATGATTTCAGATATACCTACACATTGACCCACGGTAGCCTTCAATTCAGGATGTCATTGAGGAATAACCTTTAGAAATTGTTGTCTTGGTAACGAGGATGGATCCTTACATAGACATTCCGATACTGCAAGACTTCTCTGGACTTCGGGTGCTGAAGATTGCTGGAAGAATCAATGAATTCCCTGCACGACCCGAGTTGAGGAATTGTATAATGTACCTTCCACCAAGCCTAACGCGACTGGCGACGAAGAACAAGAAAATATGTTGAAGGAAATTGACCCGAAAAATCCGAGAAATCCCGCTGTGCCTTTTCTGTAGTTTGGCACGCGTTGGGTTGGAAACAAGACAGATTTTATGCAATGGAATTCGTTGTCGACTCGTATGAATATCTGCCACCCATTGGAATTCTTAAGTCTTGACTCTGTGGCATTTAAGACAAGTTTCGTTCGTGTTTAATTTCTGAGAAAATAGGCTACACATACCTAGCCACACAAATACTGCGTACACTCGTTTTCTGTATAGGGTAGGATTCGGTGGGATTTCGAATCGGGCTGAGGTTACGTTAGAAGACTTGTGCTTAAATCTATGTGAAATATATTAGCATGCAATATTACGATTGGTGGCTGCAGAAAAGTGGTATCGAGGTACCCGGGGTCCTACAGGGTCTTGCCCGAATCCGAATTGGTATTTCAGCTCAATAGACCTTGACGGCAGGCGGCAACGGCAACTTGCAAGCGGCGAATGTCAAAGGAATCCCCGGATCCCGAGTGTATAACATGTATGTATTGTTCCTCCCTCGAGCTCCCTCCTACTTCATTGATTATAGTTACAAGCGATGAGCGAGCTCATTAAGTACCTCCATGTTAATGATTCTCGGAGATTTCGCGAGCCTAGGCCGATCTGATGGGGTTTGATGGGAACGTCTCGCTTCGGTGTCCGCCAGTCACATACGTATACAGGAGCCATTAAGCCAACGGGTAATTGACGAGAGGTGTGCAACTGCTGCATGCCTACTAGTAGGATAATAAATAGGGTGAAGGCGTTATCGAAGGTCTGGAAATCCGAAGATGGACACTGCCACTGCCGCTCTGCGTGTGTTTGAGTTTGGTGGGGTTGGCTATACTTAGCGTCGATCCGTAAGCACGCTCCAAACCCCCGATTCTAAGGATATATACAAACACTGCCAGGAAGTTGTATATATTCTCGTAGTCGGAGTAGAAGAAATAAGAAAAGCGCAAGTTCGGATGGAGCCGAGTGTGTCACGAAACGCGGATGCCAGTGAAGAAGGAAGGAAGCCGAAGATGCGCCAAGGAGCTAGCAAATGATCAAGCAGGTATGTTTAAAGTTTCGGTCATATCGATACTGTGCCCATTCAGCCTCAACTCAATTCCAATCCAGTTGGCGCAACACTGTAACGTAACGTATTTATTACGAAGATAAGAATTTAATGGAATGAGATATATTGGTCACAGCGCCAGCATCCTTCCATCCCTTCTCACTGGCAGACTTCTCCAAAGATTAAGAAAAATGTGTAAACCCACCTGTCAGCGGCGACCCACTCCAGCACCACCGGTCCACTTTACTTCCCTTCCCTTCCCTTCGCATCTCCACGAATTAGAGATACCACCTCACTTGATATCTGCCTCCACGTCGTAAGAAGTGTTGGATAAAGGATAACGACAAGGTTGGTCGAGTACCTGTGCCATCAGGTGCCATCACAGATCTGATCATCTCTTGATGGCGATGTGGATGGGTGGACTGGAGTGAGAATGCTCCCGAAGGACAACTATTAAGGGAGATGCCATGTGAAGATGACGTGAGGATGTTTTCTTTATTTAATTGGATTTGGACGAATGGAAATGAGAGGTCCGTGAGGGAGGTGCTCGGAATTCGGAGCGGAGTAAGGTATATGGCATACATATTGCGTACGGTTTGCACAATAAATACACCTTCCCTATATTTCAGCTTTGAGACCCTTTGATATTTGAGGGAATCTCCCGATATTTCAGAGAGGTCATGACTTCTCTGATATGTTTGAGGTTGAGGGTAACTCAGGTGTGGGGGCAGGGCTGTGCAATATGGTGTCTAAGACCCTCCGGTCATTGTCATGCTGTTTCCCAGGGTCTGCTCACTGTTCAGAATATTAACAAAAAGCCCTAGAAAATGGAATAATTGCTAGAAAAATAAAATAAACATACCAGTACTCCTGCGCTTCTGCTCCATCAACTACAATTCCGCCTGACCACCATCAAACATCAAATGCATCCATTGCATTGGCTGGTTCATTGTTGCTGATAGTGGCCATTACTGGTTAGTCACTATGCCATCCTTTACCACAGTCTCTTGAATCTTAATCAACCCTCAGGTCATGTTAAAAATCAGATAAAAATTGAATAAAATCAAAAATAAGATATCAGAGTGCCTGTCTAACTTTCTAGTTGCTTAAACAGTACTATTCCAGTTCTATGGACACTCACAGTTTGCAATATTAGGTGGAGCCATACTGATAGGCTGTAGCTAACAGCTTGATGCTACTCAAATTTCAATTAGAAACTAGTCTGGCAGATAGGCATTAGCAGTTGTTAGTGAACATTAAAGCCAAAATAGAAATTATGATTTCAATATTTAAGACTGAGTGGATGCTGCCGGTGCTGTCAGTGTATAGTGAGTGGAGGGTCCAGATAGGGCAATTTAGCATGAGAATAATCATTCTATTTTATAATAATTTACCTCCCTTTGCATGATTTTTCTAGGAATTTCTATGATTTGCCCAAATTTTCTAGCAATTTTCCTATTTTTAAAAACTGCAGGAAGTGGCAGGATGGTGAACTTTAGGGCCAAGTGAAGTGTGGGAATACTGATATGTTTATTTTATCTTTCTAGCAATTTATTCTATTTTCTGAGGATTTTTGTCAATTTTCTGAGTAGTGAGCAGCAAGGGTGCAGCAATGAGTGGAGGGTTTTAGACATTGTATAGCACAGCCCCACTCCCATACATGAACTACCCTTGACCTCAAACATATTGGAGGTCATGAGTCTTGGAGGAGTGATGACCTCTTTGAAATATCAGGGGATCTCAAAGCTGAAATATAGTGGAGGTGTAATCACTGGAAGCATTGAGGGGTTTTTCTAGAGGAAAACAGTGGGAAAACCTTAAAAGTGCACCCTGTTTCTTCAGTGTTTTCCCATGAATTGTGTTAAAACCTTAATAAATGTTGGTTTTTATTATGGTTTTAGCACAATTCATGGGAAAACACTGAAGAAATGGGGTTGACTTCTAAGATTTTCTTAACATTTTTCTCAGTAGAAAATCCCTCAGTGCTTCCTGTGAATGATTGTGTAAACTACATGCCATAAAGGTGCAATATTTATACCTCAGGTCATTCTATTCTAGGCCTGGCTGAGGACTCAAATCAATACATCAGCATCCAAAGCTGTGTTTAGCCTATGATAAAGTTTTAAAAAGAGTATCAAAGGTATTATTTCATGTCATTGAAATCTCCAAGTGTCTTTACATAACTGTGTCATACAACTGATTTATGGCACTACTGAGGTGCATCGAAATGCGAA